ATTTCATTTGATGAAAATTGGAAATTACATTCCAACATAAACTTTGTTCCCAACCAAGGTTTTTAAACCCGGACTAGTACCTGGGAGGTAAAACAGTTTGGGGAGGCTATATAAACTGTTTGAGCGGTTTGAGCGCTCAAAACCGATTCCACCAGCAAAATCGATGAACCAGTCAAGCCGCCCGGCCAAGAATTTACGTTAAAAATCGATGATGTAGTAGTCTACCTTTTTTTTTTTTTTTTTTAACAGTATACAATTTGGAGGATGGGAGGGGAGTTTTTCAAATCGATGGTGGTGTTTGAAACTCTGACCACTTCACCCAAGCACTTTAAAATTTAAGATCAAATTATTGGATTTAAAGATCCGTTCAATGTAGTAGTCTACCTTGAACTTCATAGTTACAGATAAATACACTTTCCACGAGGATACTACAAGCTAGCTCTAGTACGAGTTTAGGATAAAAATATAGTTAATATTTATAGTAATACTAAAGTTAAATATTCTATATCAAATAGTGAATTATATATATATATATATATGATATTATTCGGTCCGAATGCTAGTGAAGATTCATTTTGTGTAAAGTTTAAAAAAATTTGATAAAAAAAAGTAAAATTTTGTATATATTACTAATATTGAAATATAATACACTTTATAATTCTTTTTAAAAAAACTCAATTTATTGCAAGTACCCCGCTTAACGATTGTGGAAAATGCTACTTAATGTTAAAATTTACAAAAATACATCAATAATTTTTTGTTAGTATATCGATGATCCAACGGAACGTAGGTTAGCATCGAGATGTGCAACTTGAAAGATCGCATTGGTACCCACTTCCCAACTTTCAGCCCGCTACCTTACAGTCCTTGATCTTGATATCGAAACAAAGAAGGGAAAAAGTTGTAAATCTTGATTTCTATTCCGCTTATAACTACAAGCCGGTAAATGCAATTAACAAAAATTTAACTAAATTAACACTTATTAACCTAAACTTTTTTATTTATAGTTAATACAAGAAGTTGAAATCCTTTGATGTAAAAAAAAAAAAGAAAAAGAAAAAAGCATGGAGTGTAAAATTTGCCAAATGGTAAAAGTAGGGGATAGGGACTTGAACTAAAATAAGATTCACAATTCCAGACCTAAAGTTCATTTGTGCTTAATTAAGATTCTAAACTATACGAAATTCTTAATTAAGGTTCTAATTGGATGGAAACTTAATTGTCTGTTAAATAACTTACAATGGCATGGTTGAATTTTAATCCATGTCCATTACTCTCTTATCCACATGGCACACAACATGGATAAATATACTGGCTTGATTGAATTTTAATTCATGTGGATGCCATATAGATTGGCCCTCCAAAGACAACTAAGACCCACATGGGCCCATTTGTTTTAAACTTTTAATGAATGGCCTTTTACTCCTCTCTCTCACATCTTTGAATTGGGGATTAAATCCCTAATTTCAAAAATCTTATTCTTTTCTTCTCCCTTCCTTGTTCTCTTGAAATCCATTGTTGATTATGAAACTAAGATGATGTTCGAGGCTTCGTTTGCATCATCTACTCCTTCTTGTCAATTGTCTATGGATTGATTTGGTGTGAGGTAGGTGCTTTGCGATCACGAGTTAGTGGCACAACTTTGAATTCACATCAGCACCAATGATCTAAACCACCATCTAAGGAGCTATAGAAATGGGAGAGAACAAGGGACAACAAAGAAGGGAAACACTATCTAGGGAACCATTGTTTATGTTAAGAGTGTAATCACTTAGGGCAGAGAACAAAAGAGCTATAGAAATGAATGCAATGGTTGGTAAAAGAAAAGAGAAGAGAATGGAAAGCAATTGAGAATTTCATGTAGTTTAGAACCTTAATTAAGCGCAATTGAAGTTTGGATCCAAAATTTTGAATTTTGTACAAGTTTGAGCCCTTAACCTTTCTTTGTTGTTTTTGTTTTGCCCTATTTTGTCAATGTAAGATAGCAAAATGGCTATTCAATTGTAATCATTGTATGTAAAATAAAAAGTGTCCATTTTGTACAATTCACACAATTTCTACAATTTTGCCAATATCTATAATGTAAATACCATATACCCATGTCTACATTATATCCAAGTTGCAATCTAGTTGCTTAGAGTGTCAACAATGCAACATTGGTAGCAACACTTTGTTTAGAGTTTCACGGCTCCTAACATCTTAATGCATAGTGTTGATATCCACAAAATCTAAACGCATGGTGTTGATACCTACATTGTGTGTCGATACAATACCTGTGTCGGTTTTAAGGGCCTCCTTTCCACTTCTTTAATGGTAAAATGGCACATCTAGTCCTCTAGCTTCTACATGATGACTACTTTAATCCTATAACTTCAAATTAATTCATTTAGGTCCCTGATTAGAATGTCCCACCGAAGAATGTTTATGTGGCATCATTGTAGGTTAAAATTCAACCAAGTTAGCATATGTCTAGATCACGTACCATGTGGGTAAGAGAGTAATGGACATTGGTGGCACTGTAAGTTATTTGACAAATAGTTAAGTTTTCATCTAATTAGGACCTAAATTGAGAATTTAATTTAATTTGAAACCTTAATTAAGCACAATTGAAGTTTGAGTTCAGAATTGTAAATTTTGTGTAAGTTTAAGTTCTTATCCCCTACTTACAAAAGTCTTTACATTTCAATGGTTTCATGCTGAGATACCATCACAATTTAAGTCACAGTTCAACATAAAATGTAAGGTTTTTGATTTGTCATATTTATATTGATTAGAATATTGCTTATGGAGACTTAAATTTTTTTTTTTTTTGGTACATAGGAGCGATGTATCAATTCATACACTAATTAATCTAAAGGCCTGATGCCTACAAACACTAAAAGATCTTTTGTCATCTTTTGCCTCATTTCATTTGGAGGTTTTTCAAAATAATACCAACCTATACCTAAGTGCAAAAACTTTGAAATCATAATATCTGCACATGTTGGCTTCTTGAAAAACACGTCAAAGTTCACATTGTCGATTCTTCTTAAAGATTAGCATGTAGACTTAAATATTTTGTTAGAGATAAATGAGAATTTGTCTGTCAAATGGTACATAAAGAAATAGCAAACATCCATCCCAACACCCTAGCAAATATTGGGATTATATTGAAACAAGAAATAGAAATTAAAATAAAAGGTTAAACGCCATTTTTCCAAAGAAAAAGTTTTTACATCATCAATAAGGCCATTCACTATCAAGGCCGAATGAATATAGCCAACACGCATCTCCATTCTACAGGGCGGTTAAGTGAAACAAAATAGAAGTAAAATGCCAGCGAAGAAGTTACAAACAATCATTGGATGTGTTTGGGGATTTTGCCTTCATTCAAAAGGGCAAGAGAGTATTCAGCAGTGTCAATAAGGGTATCTCTCTTCAGAAGCTACCAAGAAAATGGTGCAAACTTCAACCTTCTTAGTCAGTCTTGCTGCCAAATTTAGTGGCAACTTAGGAGAGTTTAGGCAACGCAACAATTGTCAATAAAGAGAAAGGACTCGATCCCTGTTGCTCGCTAAATCTTCTGCTGTCTCCTATATCAGACCTTTTGCCATCACTTGACACCGAGAAAACAAATCGAAGAAAGGAATTAGTGTACCTGAGAACTACACAATAAGGCTGTACTCCCTCCTTGTGAGCCACTTAGTATAAGTTCTTGTTTAAATTCCTTATTAGGAACCCTAACTGTTTAAAGGAAAATGTTTTGTGCATCCCCCAATTCAACACCCGAGGGTACACTCTTTACTTAACCAAATAATTTTAAAAATAAAATTACAAATTTAACCTTAAAAGTCATTTGTCTCTCAATACCACTTTTCCTTCTTGTCTCCGCATCTTCCTCTTCTAACAAATTCATTATCTTCTTCCTTTTTCCTTCTCCCTCTTTTTTTTTTTTTTTTCTCTCCATTTGGAGAACCCAAATTGGATTCTCCATTTGGGTTCTGCTAGAGAACTCGAGAGAAAAAATGAAAAAATGAAAAAAAGAAAAAAGAAAAAAGAAGAAGGTGGGAACCTAGTACGATTGTTAATTGTCTTGCAGATAATTAGGGTAAGGATGGATTTGGTGCTTGAATTCTTGATTGAGTTTTGCTGAGATTTGTTCTTGCTATCATTTGAAAAATGATTTAGTGAGAGAGTAAATTTGTAATTTTACTTTTAAAATTATTTGGTTATGTAGAGTGTACACCTCCGGTGTTGAACTAGAGTGTGCATGAATCATGATCCCTCTTTAAATCACATAAATAACACAAGTCTTGCATATGATCAAAACTCATGATGGTACACGATCCCTTTTTTTTACACCCATAATTTCAAAGTTGATAAACCCAAGGATAAGTATCAAATAAATCTAGAAAACCATATAAGAGGCTGAAATTACAGTCTTCTACAGACTCATGAATACCAACATGGTCTCCGCCGACCATGAGATCCGCATGTGATGTGTAAACGATGAAAGTTGTGTACCATAGTCAGTAACTAGATATGGATAATTAAGGAGGCATGGAATACATATGGTGAGCTACAAAACCAACATGCCTCTCATTGCAACATGCCTTGTAACATTTTATAGGGTGTGTTTGTTTACCTGAAATCACCGTCTTCAATGCTGGACGGCGCTGATGTAGTGATGGATAATTTTCCTCCCTTTTTCACATCGT